AATAAGTAAGTGGGTGAAAGACCTAAAGAGAAGCTTCTGTGAAGAAGAAAGAAGGATGGCCAATAGGCACATGAAGAAATGTTCAACATCCCTAGCCATAAAAGAAATGCAAATCAAAACAACATTGAGATATCACCTCACTCCAGTTAGAACAGCAAAAATCAAGAACTCTAACAACAACAGATGCTGGAGGGGATGTGGACAGGAAGGAACCTTACTTCATTGTTGGTGGGAATGTAAACTTGTTCAACCACTTTGGAAAGCAGTATGGAGGTTCCTCAAAAGACTCCATATAGAGCTCCCCAATGACCCAGCAATCCCACTTTGGGGCATTTACCCAAATGTTTACAAACAAGGCCACACTAAAGCTACCAGCACAACTATGTTTATTGCAGCATTATTTACCATAGCTAAGATATGGAACCAACCCAGATGCCCCTCAGTAGATGAATGGATCAAGAAGATGTGGTATATATACACAATGGAATTCTATGCTTCCATCAGAAAGAATGACATTGCCCCATTTGTTAGGAAATGGAAAAGCTTGGAAAAAATTATATTAAGTGAAGTAAGCCAGGCCCAAAGAAACATAGGTCCCATTCGTTTCCCTTATTTGCAATATCTAGTATAGGTATGAGTCAAGGGGAAAAAGTCAGAGAATGTGATGTTAGGAAAACGAACCCTCAAATATGTATTTTAATGTTTTTGTTTCATTCATGCATGTGTTTCTAACGCATTTATAAGATTATTTCTTTGTTGCTTTGTATGTCCCTCCCCCACAGTGTAACCCCCGCTTTCACTATATTTGATGTCAGTATAACATGTGGAGGAGATGGGGACAAACAAGTCGTTTAAGGATTCAGGTGGACCTGTTGCAACAATGAGAAGTACAAAATGTCATGTCAAAACCAGCTTTACAATGTCGGTGGGGGGGAGGGAGGGGGGTATGATTGGGTTGGGGGGAGGGGGGGAGGCTGGGAAGGGAGGTGAAGGGTAAACAAAGGAGGAGGCTGCAATGCTTGGTAAGAAATGTCTGCATTTTCCTGCCCATGTAATTGTAACCCTTCTATACAGTATGTTTTCAAATAAAATAAAATAAAATAAAATAAAATAAAAAAAAGAATCTATGGCACCTGTGGCTCACTACTGTAATCCTAACTACTCAGGATGCTGAGATATAAGGATAGTGGTTCAATATCAGCATGCCAGGAAAGTCTGTGACACTCTTATCTCCAATGAACCACAAAAAAGCTGAAACTGGAGCTGTGGCTTAAGTGGTAGAGAGATAGAACTGAACACAAATACTTAGGGACATTGGTCATTCCCAGAATTCAAGCCCTAGAACCAGCAATAAAGAAACAGAAAGGAAATATGATTTATGCACAGGTGAGATACCATGGTGAAAGCCCTTGGTACAATTAATATGTATATGAAACAAATGAATGACACGAGAATGAAATAGGCTCTGTTGGCATTTTATGAAGAGAGGACTATGAATGAAGTTATATGAAGGTAAATATTATTGAAGTGCTTTTCTGGAATATATGAAAAAGGATAGCAAAACCCATGCAATTGGTTTAAGAATGGAAATATGGGATAAGGATGAGAGATCAAGGGTGTGAGGTTAATGGAGTACATTGTATGACTGTGTGGAAATGTCACAATGAAACCCTTCTTGTACAGTTAATATATGCTGACAAAGACTAGTATATGTCTAGGACAAGCAGAAAAGCTCAAAAGCTATGTACATATGACCATGTAAAATGATGGTAAGCAAAATGAATCCCAAGATAGGGACACAAGTGGTTTTATCTTTCTTGCTTTTTTTTTTAATGTATTTATAAGGTACTGTGTGATTGTTTTGTTTCTTTTGTATGTTCTTCCCCCATGGTATAACCCTTGTTTTCATTGTATTTGATTCTGGTGCCCTGCATCTTGTATATACATTTTTCTAATTTGGGGAGGGGAATATAAATAACAAAATGCTGAAATGAGGGTACAGGTTGGCCCATTATAACAATGAGATGTACAAGACGCTGTAGTGAAAACAAATTTCACAAGTTCACTGGGGAGGTGTGGGATGAGAGTAGTTGGGGAAATGGAAAGGGAAGGGACGGTAGGGGAAAATCAAAGGAGGAGAAAACAATGCTGGATAGGAAATGAAATCATTACCTTATTCATGTATCTGTAACCCTTCTGTACAGTATTTTTACTATATATATATATATATAAAGAATTTAAAAAGAAATTAAATATATTCTTATTCTCTAGCAGTAAAAAAGCAGTGGTCAAAAATTGTATGTGTAACTGTTTTTTTTTTTTACAGATATAGCTCACTATGTCATTATATATTCAAAAAGATCTCTTTAAAGTCACTGAGGTTCTCTTAACCAGGCATGTGAATTCAATCTTTATCTTAGTCACTACACATACCATCTTTATGAACTTGTGAAGAGATGGCTGTAGATGAATGATTTCAAGACACAAAAATTCCAAACAAAAGAATACTTTAATGGTCATGATGGCCATAATGGCTCACACCTATAGTTCAACCTCTAGGACAGCAGAGAACGGTAGGAATGTGGTTCCAGTTGAGTCAGAACAAAGTAGTCAGACCACATCCCAATAATCAAGCCACCAAGAAACAGGATTTTAGTTTGGTCTTAAATTTTGTGGTCTTATCACTCATGGTGATCACATACCAGATTAGATTAGATTTGTGCCTTTCCCCCCTCAGTGTTCTGTCAGTAATGGATAATTGTGAGCAAAGTCCTGAAGTGCTGCTATGTTCTGTAAGGACATCATTACTGATGATCTTTATTTCAATTCTAGATTAAGGTGTTGGCTGTTGGATTTCTCTGCTATATAGTTGTTCTTTTTCCTTTGAAATTGCGAGGATTTGTGGAGAAATATACGGTGGTTTATGGATATCACATCCCTAATGAAAATATCACTACTAATCCAAGGATTTACAATTTATTTCATGGAATACTTTGGTATTTATTCAATATTCAAAAACTCACAAAATTGGCCAGTGGGCATTCCTTGTTAGCTGATTTCTCTCCATTCTTTCCTTTAGGTCATCCACTATGAATTTGTAGTTTGTGACAACAAATGATCCAAACTCATCTTCTTCTTTTCCTGCTGTTGATAAAGAAATAAACTGTTCTGCAAGAGTCATTGGTTTTATTTATGAGAGAATAAATGAGGTCAGTTAATAAATGTGCTATCTGTTACTAAAGCTAAAGTATCATTACTTCTAGATTAGAAAAAATTATCCACTTGTGCATCTATTCATCTATATGTATGTATCTGTATATATATATTCATATATACATATGTATACATGCATACATATGTATGTTTATGGTAATTACTTCACTCACATCACAAAATTAGGACATTATTAAATGAATTCTTGGAAAAATTTTCTTCTTTCCACAAAATATTCAGTATAAAATCTTTGAAATATGTCACTAACATTACATGAAATTTTCATTTAATTAGCTTACATTTTTTTTACTCAAGAGTACGAAAATTGGCTCTAATTTTCCCTCATTAATTTAGTCATATGATCAACAACTCTTCTGGGTGATATGAAACACTTGGTTTTACTGCCACTTACATTATTATATAATATACCCCCTGTCTCCACCTCCAGATTTGTTCTGACATTCCTCAGAATGTGATAACATGGATAAGATGAGCTAACTTTGTATCCCATGCAATAGTGACTTCCTGAGCCCTGACAGCTGCACAGGCAAATCAAACACATATGGATGTCCTCTCGGGTCACTCCATCTCAGCACCTACAATGGAGTCAACAATGCTATTTCTCCCTTGCAGAGAAAATCAGCTCTCCTCACTCTTGCTTCCAAGCCCCATGTTGCCTCCTCTGAATATGGATGACATTTCCATGTTCTATTGATTTCAAGACTCTGTTCAGAGATTCCAACATACTCACTCTGCTTGGGCCCAATATCTTTACCAAGGTGTGCAGCACAGTGTTCTCTCAGGAACTAAAAGAGTCCACCGAACAGAGGAGACATATGTAGGTTTAGGTCACAAAATAGACTTCAAGATAACCTGAGTTTATCCTACCTTTCAAGATAATCTATCTCTGCTTCTGAACATAGTAGTTGTGGTGAAGATGATTAAAAGCCAGAAGAAATAATATGAGAATCTTCAGCATGGAAATATAAAATGATACACATTCTAGGTCACTAAAAATTATAAAGGCTGTTCAGATATGAAGAGAGAAAGGCTCTGAAAGGTCATGCTTATATGGATCACCTGGGACAAAAACTCAGAGATGGAGGAGATAATAAGAATGAAGTACAAAAGTCCAGGCATTTTCTTATCAATACAGCAACAACACTTATTCCACCTCCATGGATTGAATTCATTACAGGAAAACAGTGCTGATAAATTGACACATACAGATTATCAGTGAATCAGAGCTACTGTAAAACTTTCTGTTCTGTATAATAATAAAGAAATGCCAAATTTGTGTTGTGCAAAATTTGTTTGAAATTTCAAGAACTAACACTCCAGTGAACAATTCTTGACTCACTTAAAGTAATAAGACCAAAAAAAGCTTTGATCCTCAAAGCTACATTGTTTTGCGCACATCACAAGAAAGCAACTTGGTGATTCTCTTCTGTGTTTAAAACTTATTCTGTTGCCTGACCTAGTTCCCTTGAGACTCAGAATGTGCAGAGTTGCTGAGATGAGGCAGCTGGACAGCTGTGTATAACTCTGCTGCTGATTTGCATGCACCAACAGCACAGCCCAGTGTGCTCAGGACTTCTTCATAGGCTGCTCACATTAGGCAGTAGTCAGTCCAAGTCAGCACACAGCATGGACATGAGGACCCCTGCTCAGCTCCTGGGGATCCTGCTGCTCTGGCCCCAGGTAAAGAAAGACAATGCTAGGGATTAACACAGCTCAGTGTGATCCAGGATGCTTACTCCTCAGGGATGCCTTCTTATAACATGATAATTAGTGTGGATATTTGTTTTCGTGTTTCTGCTTCCAGGTGCCAAGTGTGATATCCAGATGACCCAGTCTCCATCTTCACTGTCTGTGTCTCTAGGAGACACTGCCACCATCACTTGCAGGGCCAGTGAGGACATTGGGTATACTTTAGCCTGGTACCAGCAGCAACCAGGGAAAGCTCCTAAAATCTTTATATATTGTGCAGATAGTTTGGAGTCCGGAGTTCCATCAAGGTTCAGTGGGAGTAAATCTGGGACGGAGTTCACTCTCAGGATCAGTGGCCTGGAGCCTGAAGATGTAGCCACTTATTACTGTCAACAGTATAGCAGTTACCCTCCCACAGTGATAGAAGGCATAACAAAAACAGCCCAGGGAAGCTGACATGTGAGTCTGGGCTGCCCCAGCTGCTCCTCCTGCTGCCTCCACCTGCTCAGAATGTTGTCAGAAAAAGTCAGTTAATACTTGGAGAGTCTGCATTCTGGCATCAGTTGATATTTATGCAATAATAAAATGAGTAATGGTATTTTAAGCAGGAATTGCCTTTAATAAAATGAATGGATTCATTGCTTCAGATTTTATTCCTTTATTTTCTGATAGCCTATTTTTTATTAATGTACATATCTGTAACTATTAATGGGATTCTGGGTTTCTCAGTATATGTGTATTATGTGCATTGATCATAGTCTTCCATCTTTCTTCTGTTTTCAACCTCCTGAGCTCTGATCCCGTGCCCTTGTCAGCCCCATAGAATCACTATTGCATTTTATTTATTTATTTATTAACATTAAAACATATGGGTAGGTCTTTATTTGAGAAGTTTAGCATTAGAGGGAACAAAGCAGCAATGATTCCATTCATTAAACAGCGTATCTTCAATGGATTTGTCCACAAACCCTGGCAAAAGGCATTCAACCTTGTGATCTGATTTACTTAGGAATCCATTCTCATATGTACACAAAAAAGCCTATGTACATAGATTGAAGTGAAAGGTTTACAAAATGATATTTTTATGTGTAATGCTTTCTAAGATTTTTATGATTTTTTAAATTTTTATTTATTTTTTATTGTGAAAATACTGTACAGAGGGGTTACAATTACATGGGCAAGATAATGAGTACATTTCTTATCAAGCATTGTAACCTCCTCCTTTGTTTCCCCTTCCCATCCTTTCCCATCCTCCCCCCAACCCCCCACCCAATCCTCCCCGTCCCACCCAACCAAAGTTGTAAAGTTCGTTTTCAACATAACAACTTGTACTTCTCAGTGTTGCAACGGGTCCACCTGTATCCTTATTTAAACGACTTGATTTTCCCCTTCCCCTCCACAAATTATACTGACAGCAAATACAGTAAGCCAAGCCCAAAGAAACATAGGTCCCATGGTTTCCCTTATTTGCAATATCTAGTATATGTGTGAGTCAAGCAAAAAAGGTCAGATAACGTGATGTTAGGGAAATGAACCCTAAGATATGTATTCAAATGCATTTTATTTTTTTTTTAAGTCTGCTTGAGTAAGAAGCAGTATAGACGATGCTCTTTGTTTTACTACTTTGTTTAACAAGGTGTTTTCTAATTCTATAGATCATGCTGCAGACTATAGGATTTCTTGATTCTTTATGCATATTGTATATATATATATATATATATATATATATATATATATATATATATATATGTATGTATTTCATGGGGCTTGAATTCTGGACACTGGATACTGGAAACTGACCCTGAGATTTTCATGTCAAGGCTACCACTCACCACTTGAGCCACAGTGCCACGTCTGGTTTTCTGGTGGTTAATTATAGATAAGACTCTCATAGACTTTTCTGCCTCAGCTGGCTTTGAACTGTGACCCTCAGATTTAAGCCTCCTGAGTAGCTAGGATTACAAGCCTATGTCACTGGTGCTCAAATGTTTCATTTTAAAAGGCAATGTTTCATAAATGATTTTTCCAGTCACGTGTTTTGTGTTTTAGTTAATCCAGACACCCATGTAATTCAACAATATTCAGATTTTTTAGGCACAAATTTAATTGTCTGTGAGCTCAGTTTTGAAGTTAGGCTCCTTCAACTCTTCTGCTTGATTTAGCAATAGTAAATCCTCATCTTGTACTGATCGTCAGCAGATCACTTTGACCCTTCACCTCACATTTCTCTACACAAATCACTGTGCACATATTCAGAATCCATCCACCTTCCTCAAAGCAGCAGGGTTGGACCCCTGCGGATATGGGGAATGGATGCCCTGACGTGGAATGTTGGTCAAGAGGATAGATCTGAGGAGGAAAGCCACAGAGCCTATAAAATTTAAGCTTTGAATTTTTACTTTGAAACTTTTGTGGTCATGAGGGTAATATAGATTGTTCACTTCTCATTAAGGTGACATTTTGATAGTATGCAATTATGAATTGAAAAGCAATTTTCCTCAAAATACATTGTTTCTCCAATTTCCAGATTTCAAGTGGAAAAGTCACATTTGAGTTGAATGTTTTCATCTCTGATTTTCAAACTTCTGCTATTTACATTGCATCATTGCTTAATGGAAAATTTTTTCCTAAATTTTTTAATGACATGCTAGTTCAGACAATTCTCTAACAATTTTACTGAGCACTAAAAGGGATTTCTCAATCCACCTGTTGAGTCTCTGAGCATATGACAAAGGCAAAACCCTATACTATTACCCTTGTTACTTATATATTAATTCTGAAATGTTCTTATATGTAGAAATAGTGCCATCATTTAATAGCTATAGAATCCCTAACAAGAACGAAGACACAACTTTCTATGATCAATTTTTATTACTCCTTTGCTAACATTTTTAATTTTATGATTACTTGGTTGTCTTGAGACACAGAAATTCCCTACCCCTCTTGCACTTCACAAATGAGTTGCAGATGAGTCTCCATGTGCTCACCATTCAAGAGATGGAACAAGGTTAGACCCGACTTCCAGATGTTGAATGTCATTGCTATGTAGTGTCTATTATATAAATATAGCACAATTAATCTGCTATTGGTTATACTGTTTTAGCTATGGATCTTACATAGAAAAAAACTGTGATGGGAACAATTATTTTCATTGGCTTTTTGGAGCTCAGTTCAGGCACAGGATTCTATCTTATATTTTTTAATCTATTTTTAAAATGTTTCTTTTGGTATTTTAGTTTACAATTCTGAACAACATGCATTTAGTGATATTTATTTAATAATTCATCAACATGTTTAGATATTAGATATCTAATATGTAAATTTTCTAAACATGACAGAGATTTAGTGGTACAAAAACCTGCAAAAATCCACAGACACACACATCCAGATGAAGACTTCCCCTGCTGGATTCTTCCATGTAGACTTAGTTATACTATGGATCTAGACTATACCTACTTCCTGCCATGCTTTTAATTATACAACCTGTAGACAAAGAACAGAAACATATAATATATAATATAATACTTAAATTTAAGCTTTATTGTGTTGTGCCTACTGTAATTCTATTGGCACAAATACAGAGTGTCAGATATCTCCTACTGATTGGCATTCAGCAGTCTACTTCCATGCAAAGTATTCAGACATTTCTGCCACTAGAGTGAAGGAGTTAGAATGTTCCTTGTTTTATTGTTTTTTGGTTTTTTTTTTCCCACTGAGAAATTACAAGTCATTTCTTCAGTGCTTTGGAATAAGAAAACTATTATATGTTCTTATTATTTATTTTCAAATAATTATAAATGTCCATAAAGTTGTGAAGAAAATTACTAGGAGGTTTTTTGCATCCGTCCCCCAGACTATCCCAGTACCAACATCTTTGTATAACTCTGTTACCTTATTTAAATCAGGAAATAGACATTGGTTCAATCCATATAGGTACTACAGTAGTCACTTGGACACTTTGGTGTTTGTTCATGTGCAGATGTGTGTGCATTGGGTGTGCTTATCACATGAGCAGCCCACATGTATATATGAATGTTGAGAATATATAGGTACCCCATATTTAGGTTTCTCTGTTGTCAACACCATCATGGAGGAACTGTTCCCTACCAATGACACAGACTCCTGGGGCTGTCCATGAGCCACAGAATTCCCTTTTTCCAATCCCTCAGCCCTGGACACTTCATAAAAAGAAAATATAAAAAAGTCCCATTTTAAGATTGGCTGTATTATTCAGTATAGCTTTTTATGGTTCATCCAGTCAATATATATGATAGTTTAGCTCCTGTTTATATTGAATAGAATGCCTTGGTTGAAGAAACACATTTTCTTTTATTTTTTATCAGTTAGGAACAGTTGGGAAGATTCTTAGTTTTACTACTGATAAGGATTCTAAGACTATTTTTTACAAGTTTCTATGTGAAAATGAAATGTATTACTCTGGGATAAATGCCCCACCATTTGTTTTTGGAAATGTATTTCAATAGAGCTTTCAAGTTTAGAAAGCACTGTCCAAGTTCATATTTTTTATTGCCATAGTGATGTACAGAGGGGTTATAGTTACATAAACAAGGTAATAAGTACATTTTTTGTCAAACTTGTTATCCAATTTCAAGGTCATTTTAACATTGCTGTAGCATTTTAAATTCCATTCAGCAATGGATGAATATTCAGCTCCCCACCATGTTTAGCATAGTTCCTGCTACCTTTATCATTTTTCATTATATTTCCTCTCGAAAGTTTATGTAGCTTTTCTTCTGATAATATAGAAACGTGTGCCAGACCTCATTCAGGTTCATGGCCCAGACCATAAACACTTTCCTTCTGAACTGTACTTCCTTCTCCCAGGAAGATCCACAGGAAAGTATCCTGCTTCCTACGCATCCACAGCCTCAGCTGTCAGGCAGAAACTCACAACCCATGAAGTGTAAGCCTGCCCACAGCTCTTGTTTGAGATCATTATCCAAATTCTTCCATGGATTTTGGTGCCTGAGTCTGTGTGGACTGGAAATTTACAAGCCACATGCCCATATATGCTGAAGCCAGCCCTGGAGCATACATCATGAAAATTTCAGGGGTTATCCTTAGAATCTGGCTTCTTTCAACCCTACTTGTGTCAATGCTTTTGCGGCCTCTCTTTGTCAATCTATTAGTGTGTCCCCTAAGTTTACCAAGTGGCTTTCACACCTATACAACATCCAGCTTCCTTCACCTTGTTTTATTTAGTACCAGTTTTGTCTGTCCTGCAGTTCACATGATAAGTGGAGAATGAAATAATGATTTTATAGTAACTTGAGGAAATACAAAGGAGGAATAATATAAATTTGTACCTTGTTTTAGAATGATTGGACATCATTTTTTTCTATTGTTTATTCAGAGTTTAGATGGTCAAAGCACCCTTGGCTTGTGGCCCAGTTAAATAAACACACACATAGAAAAAAGTATGAAAAATGTGAATAAATAAAATTCATTTAGGACACTTATGGGACTGTATAACA